AGATATTTACATGACGATTCATAACAGTAGCAACATGACAGTGATGAAGTAGCAACGAAAATAATTTTATGGTTGGGTCACAACATGAGGAACTGTATTTAAAGGGCCAGAAGGTTGAGAACCGCTGCTGTAAGGTCTCGGCGTCACTGGATGTCAAGTTCGGAGGATGGAACTGTGTAAACGGGTCACACACACGCCTTCACTGACGAGGACGCGGCGGCCGCAGAAGAGAAGCGCTGCTGTGACTTGGTGACTTACTGGTTACGTTGAAGAATTTGTGTTCAAAATTGAGGTGATGTCACAGGACGGAGTTTAACATCAGTTCGCCCGACAATGCTTGTGGCTGCCGGCCGTGCCGGGTCCCTGCAGCTGAGAAGAATCCGAGAAAAACAAGTTCACCTTTTCTGACCTAGTTTCCTCCCCGCCCCTTATCACCTTCCAACGTGTTTATTCTTTATCTCCAGCAAAGCAACAGCTGCTTTAAAACGATGGGCTGGAGAGTCCGAGTTCCGGGGAGAGTTCTGGTGTTTCTGAGTGAGCGGATGTAATCGTCTCTTAGCCAGGGCCTCGCGGCGAATGCGTGCTGCGCGGGTCCCGGCATCAGCCGTGCAGGGCTGTGTGTCCGCCGCAACCCGGACCCATGGGCGCCCCGCTCCCTCCCCCCTCCCTCCTCCCCTTCCTGCTTTGCTTAGCTGCTTGGAACCTTCTACAAGGCGGCTCTGACCCCTTCTCGCGGGCTCCCCATCACCCTCCTTCCCCGCTTTGTCCGGAGCTCCAGGAGTCCTGTCTGTCCGTCCGTCCTCCGGGCGTCAAGGTGCCGGAACTGAGCTAAGTCCTTCCCTGGGGATTGCACTTCCCTGCTCCTGCTTACAACACAGGCCCCAGTGACGCCTCCTCTGGGCGTCATGGGAATGACCGTGTCTGCGCGGGAGGGGCCCCTGCCTGCACACAGGGCCCTCCAAGGGCAGGGCGGGCCTTCGGGGGTGGAGGGCCTGGAGGAGTGGGCCTTGCCCCATGTTTGCAATGCCCATTCCGGTTGCATCGCCAGCAGCACAAGTCCCCTTGTGTGGTGGTGGCTGCGTTTTTGCCGGGAGAGGTAAGCAGGTGATGTTGCTCAGAGGCAGGTC